ATCATGAAATCGGTCAGAAATGTTGTTTTGATGATTTCTAGGTCAATTTCGAATCCTGGTCACCTGAGGTCAAATACGTTTAAAAGTTTGTGGTTACTCTTAAACTTTATATCAATAACTATTTTGAAGTCATCTGTAATCCACAGCTATCTGTTTCTGAATTGTCAATGTCTTTATTTATCCTGGAAATTAGCCAAAAAGGTTGTCTTGATGATTTCTTAATTGATTTTAAATATTGGTCATTTAAAGTAAAAAAATAGGTCACACAGCCTTAATATCGAAAAACATTGTATACACTCTAAAGACTATTGTTTTGAATCAATGTTTCTGAATTTTTGTCAGACAGATTGCTTTGATCATTTCTTAGTCTAGTTTAAATATTGGTCATCTTTGACCAAAAACTAGATCACACAACTTAGATATGGAAAAACCTTCTTAACACTCTAGGGGCAACTGCTTTGATCAAAATGTTATGGAAATTTGTGAGAAAGGTAAGTTTGATAATATCTAGGTCATGTTTGAATATGGGTCAAAAATTTCGTCAAAAAGTGCGAACATTGATAAACCTTGTTAACACACTTTAGGCTGCTGTTTTCATCCAAAAGTCATAGAAATTGGTTAAAGTTTGTTCCGATGATTTCAAGGTCAAGTTTTGTATGGGTCAGTGTTGTATAAAACTAGGTCACACAGTCCTAATATGGACAAATCTTCTTAACACTTTAGAAGCTACTGTTTTGATCCAAATATCTTAAAAATTGGACGGAAATGTTGCTTTTATGATTCGTAAGGGACGTTTGAATATGAATCACCTGGTATTAAACACTAGGTCACACAAAATATAGAAATTCTTTGTTAACACTTTAGAGGCTATTGTGTTGATCCAAATATCTTGGAAATAATTCAGAAAGGTTGATTTAATGATACCAATATCAATTACTGGTATGGGTCACCTAGGGTCAAAAAATAAATCACACAATTCAAATATGAAAAACATTGCTAACACTGTAGAGACTAACACTCATCAATTTTAAAAGTTTTCAATTTTGGTGAAACATTATTAAAAGGTTTTCCCGGGTTTTTTAATTAAAAATATTTTTCAAAAATTTACTATCAAAAAAGAAAACCCCGGCATCAAAACCTAAAAAAGGAAAAAGCCCTTAGAAGGGGCAGGGAAAATGCTGATTTACGTGGACAAAAACAAAAGGGAAAAACAACCTGAAAAACCCAAAAGGGGAAAAAGGTTTTTGGGATTTTATAATACTATTTAAACAAATTATTTAAAGGATTTTAAAATCTATCTTTACAAGCCGTGCTTTAAGATTTTTTCTGTTTTTCTCGATTTTTGAATAAGAAACCTTCCCTATAATTCATCAAGCAATTCAATCAATATAATTTGATTGCAATATTCACTTAGCTTAAGTTTCTTAATCAGGATTGTATTTTTTAAAAAAAACCTTGCAAAAAGGTAACCGCTCACATGCATAAACAATGCTTAAAAATAAGATAGTATACAGAAGCTTCAAGGAGTTTTGTGGCAACCTGATAAGAGCGATGCAAGGCTTTCGAGACAGATCATATATAGAACATGTGTTGCCATTTTGATCTTGATAAAGGTTTAAAATACTGTTTAAACATGTTAAATTTACAGATAAACAGATAAACATCTTAATGTATGACAAAAATATACATTTAGATGCCTCTAGGTCCTCTTGCAGAGGAGGATCCCTTTCAGTATAGCCCATGTGAACAAGAGTTAATGTATAATCTAGATGAACCTCCTGAGAGCTTACAAGATCACCTAATATATCTTTAATTAAAAGTACAGTGTATGTAAATCTTGATGTTCCTTGGTCATCATACATGATCTTTTAATATATATTCCATAACAGCTAGAGTATACGTACATTAAGATGATTTCCTCATATATTTTCTATACTGAATATAATATATGTACATATCTTTAATATGAACTTAAGTGTTTGTAAATCTTGGTCCTGGGTCATCATACCTGATCCTCTTATATATATTCCACAACAACTAGAGTATACGTACATTTCCATGATTTCCTCATATATTTTCTATACTGGATAGAGTATATGTACATATAAATGATCCTTTGGTCATCTTACTTGATCCCCAAATTACCGTTCGATCAACCCAAAAATTTAAAAGTGCCTGAAAATAGTCACCCCTTAAATGAAATTCTCTTGTATAGGGTTTCCATAAGATCTAGAGAAATGTTCATAAAGATGAACCCTTTTGTCAAAATTAATGACCCCTTTGATTATTTTTCTAGAAGAACTAAAAAAAAATTGAAATTAAATGTTTACTTCACTTTTTTTTTTAAGCTGACCCCCGAATCTTTTTTTTAATATTTTTTGGTTTTTTGGTAAAGTTTACTAGGGGGCACATAAAAAAAAGTTTTTTTAATTTGACCCCTTTGCCCTTTTTGAAATTTTTTTGGACCCCTTTTCATTTTTTTTTAGTTCCAAAATAAAAATTTTAAAAAAATTTTTTATAAAACCCAATTTTTCCTTTCATATGAACAAGGTGGCATGTCTTTTTCATAATCTCCCGGGTTACCTTTGTGATCCGCAAATAAATGTCTGTGGGCCCCATCGGGACAAAATTTTGTTTTTCAAAGATGACCCCTTTAGTTTTAAACAAGATCGTTTTTGGAATTATCTTTAAGAACTAATGATATAATTTATTTTCCATTTATTTTTCAAAAAGTAAATAAAAAAAAAATAAAAAATTTCTGTATCCCGCCCCGAATACAAATTCTAAAAAAGAAAAAAGGGGCGAAATTTTCATCTGGAATACCCCTTGCCCAATTTCCCTGACCCCCAATATCTCCTCCGTGTTGGGGAAAAAGTTTATTTAAAAAACATCTTAAATGATCCCTGGTCGTCCTACATTTTCACACGTCATATCAAATTTTTAATAAGAAACAGGGGCCCAAATGTTTTAAAAAATCAGATACCTTTTGTCAATTTAAAAACCATGATCCCCAATAATTCTGCCCCCGTGTTAGGTGGAGTTTATGTATTATATCTACATGATTCTCTGGCCATCGTATGTTATCTACTTATACATGCTTCATTAAAAATATTTTATATCTAGATCATCGCCTGGTAGCCTCTTCACATGTTCCATAACAAACAGAAAGTATGCACAATTTCCTGGTTTTCTAGGGTTTTTTGGTGATCCCTTTATGGAGGCTCCATGCCATACAAAGAATATGTAAAATTTAAATGATCCCTCATCGTCTTACATGATCTCCTTTTACATGTTCACTAATAAACAAGAAAGTACATCTTCGTGATTCCCTGATCGAATGACGTGATCCCCTTGTACCGGCTCCATAAACATCAGATTATATGTACAGCTACATGATCCACTGTTCGTCTTAGGTGATCCTCTCATACATGTTCGATAGTAAAGAGAGTTTCTTACTCCAGCTAAAATTCCGGTCATCTGGGTTCACAAACAAGGTTACACATTTTAAGCCCAAATTGTCTGGGGAATTTGGTCAGGAAGGTTGCTTAGATAATTTATTGATAACTGGGTACTTGACTGAAGCAGGCTAACTTGATTAGGGCCATCATGGGCATATTTTTGTTAAAAAGGTGCGGGATTGTTATGCTACATGAAGACGGTTGGATAGGTGGCCTTTTTATCCAACCATCACATTCTTTTAAGAGAATTCACTTGATTTTTATTAACATTTTACAGTGTGCTTGGAAGTATGTTAATCGTCCGGAAACTGTAATTGAACATAAGATTCCGATCTGATGAAAACTTTTTTTTCTAGATAAAAAAAAAATACAAACCCAATCAAACCAAAGGGTTTACACCAAAATGTTTTTAAAGCTTATATTTTTCTTTCGGGAAAAAAAAAAAATTCCTGTTTTGCTGTTTCAATTGAAACCTTTAAATGCATGAGAAAAAATAGAACCACAAAATGGCCCTTAAACCTTGAAAACCCATTAATAGGATAAAATTCAAAATTTGGGCTAAAATTTTGTGTTTTTTTAAAAAAAAATTAAAAAAATTTTTTATACTTAAATTGATTTTTTTCCGGGTTTTGAAAAAAATTAAATTTATCCAAATTTAAATATTTAATTTCATAAAATTAAACAACATGCTCTTACCCAAATTTTTTAAAATTTTTAAAAATAACTTTTTTTTAATTTTACCTTTTTTCAATTTTTGACTTTAAAAATTTTGGCCCTCAAAAAACCAAGAAAAGGAAAACATCATACAAAATTAGATTATTTGACTTTTGTATACAAATGTCTTTTGTAAAAAGTTCAAACCCTAAAACGTTTATCTCGACATTTTATTATCTCGATATTTTTGACGGTCCCGATGACTTCGAAATAAAGAGAGTCGACTGTAATAATCTCTATTTCAAATTGGCAACTTTAATTAATCATTTTAACTAAAACAAAAACTTGAAAAACTTAACAAATTGTTTTTTTAACAATGGTTGAGAATTTCATGGGTGTTGTTTTTGTTGTTTTTCGCTTTTTAAAACCCCAGGTCCCTTTTTTTTAAATATTTGGGGGGGTTTCCCCAAATTAAAAAAAAAAAAAAAAATTTTAAAATCTTCAATAAAAATTTTAATTTAAAATTTAAATTAAAAAAATGAAACCCTTTTTAACCCAATTTTGTTTTTTTAACTTTTTTCATAAAACAAAGGGTAAAACTCTTGTAATTGTTTTTGGGTAAAGTTTTTAATCAAAAATTGTCAATAACCTAAAAAATTTTAAAATTTTTTAAAATTTGTTTGGGTTCAAGGATAAATTGGGTTGGTTTTCCCCCAAAAAAATTAAAAAAATTTTATATATTTTAACTAAAAATTTGTTTATTTAATCGTGTCTTTTGTTTTTTTTTTGCGGATACCTTTTCCCCTTTTTGGAATTTTTAATTTTGGAAAGTAACGGAAAAGCCTTATAAGTTATAATTCATATGATACAACATGTTCAGTGAAACATGCTAAATATAGTGTATTTCTCATCTATTTATAATTTTCAAGTATGTTTGTTAATTTTTTACCTTCTTTGGTTACAGGTGTGCATTATTTACGTTCTTGCTGTCTCGGTGTTAATGCACAGAACAAATCTTGTATTTCTGATACCAATCGTTTCAAAATATTTACCAACTTCAGAAGAAGCAGTTTATTTTTTTCATACTTCACCTACTTATGGTATGCATGCCATTTCACAATAATTTTGATTGAGTTTCTCAGTGACAAGAAATTTCTTAAACAATTGCTTTGAATCAACAGCATTAAAACTTTTTTGAATATTGACTTATGATTACAATTAGACTTCTTAGTAAAATTACAATATTTACGGAGTTTGACTAATCACTTAGTGCATATTATTTCTTGCAGCAAATAACACTATTGGTTTTAGATCAGAGCTGTGGATAGATAGATATTTCAAACACAATCATGTAAGTATTCTGAAGCTTTAGAAATAACTGCATTGCTATCAGTTTTTTACAAAAGTGGCACGGTCAATGTTTGTAACAGGTTCAGTTATTTAAAAAGGTTAAAAAGGATACAAAAATAAACTGTAGAATTCATGATCTATGAAGAAAAGAAAAATATACTGTGCCATTATATAACAGATTATTTTGACAATAAATGGTGACACTTTGACACATTTATGTAACGAAATTTTTAAAATAATCACTTGTTACTGTGAAACGGAGGGTAGACCAAGGATAACCCGTAATTTGTTTATAATCCTCTCTAATTTCAGTTGTATTCATTATATTTTCGTTATATTTGACGTCTCTTCTTTTAAATTTCAAAATATTATGAATCTAATGAGGTGTTTTTTTTTTCAAACCGTCTTATATTACAATGAACATGCAACTTATAATGAAATCTTATACTGCACCAAAGTGATTGTTACAAAAATGGATTTTGCGCAAAATTGCCGGAGCATAATGTAAAACCCGAAAAATAGCAGGCAAAACTTTTATTTGGACATTTGGTTTTCGTGGAATCAAGTTGCAACCGGTTGTGATTGCAACGTTTATTTATTCGGCAACGTTGTCATATTTGGCCCAAAACACTCAAAAAGTTACATCAAGCAGGTGGCAGAGAGGAGATGTGCTTCCTTCTGCTTGAGGGGTTTTAATGGGGCAGCAGCCTCATCGTCAAGTAAATTCTGGACTTGTGAGAGGCTAAAATGGCTTAAGGCCGTTCTTTATGTAACGTGCATCCAATTCTGAAAAGTCTTTGACTCTATCTCAATCCATTTAGAAGTTGCAGCACTTTTAAATCAGTTTTGATGGGGAAAAAATCATGCAAAAAAGTGATTTTTGGCAAAGTAGAGATGTCCCATCGTTACCATGGCAACATAAAATTTAAGATTCATGCTAGTACAAAGGCAGTTGTCCAGGTTACATTCAGAAGTTGATTGTGTTTTTCTTCAGCTACCAGTGGCAGTAACATTTTGCATAGTTTGCATTCTGGTTTTATTTTCCAAATTTGCTGTGAAGAAGTTTTGCAAGGAAAGTAAGTGTATATTTTCTTTATTGCTTCAAATCTATAAATATGCGAACATAGTTATTTAAAATCTAGTTGCAAAATACAATACATTAATTATATTCTGCATGCTTGGAAAACGTTCAATGTTATGATAAAATATATGTCAACACGTCCTACTTTACATTCCTAAATTGTATATCGCTCAAAATCCAACATGTTTTTTTTTGATGAGTTGAATCGAAAACAGATTTTAAGAAAATTTAGATTTTGACAAAAAACACCGAGTGAAATGTCTGGTATTAGAAATGACATTTAACAGTAGCCAACCACAAACACAAATGTCATTATCAACAGTGAAAATGGCTAGCATTTAACTTTCTTAATTTTCTTCTTTATGTTTTAGATGTCTATCTTGTATATATAGATTTGTTCGCATCGAATGACATTACCTTTCTCTGGCGAACATTTCATTTATTCCCGCCTCACTACTTTTGTAATATTAATTTTCTTAGGCCAATGGGAGTTAGTCTAACTGTTGATTAAAGTGTAGCACGTGACAAAGAATTTTGAGTAATTACATAGATAATTGTGCTTCTTTACATAAATAATCTGATAAACTAATTACGTAAAGGAACAGTGTCAAAATGAAATTTTCGTTTATAACAATACAAAGGGTTTGTAACAGCAAACATATCATCCTTCTTTACCGCCTCATCATAATTTTCCTCGGGGTGATACACTTACTGAAACTCACAAACCTGTTTGTTATTTATATAATATCTTCCACAGAAGGATAAGGTATTCGGATATTGTAACCAAAGCTCAGCTCAGTAAGTCAGTAATGCACCAGAGCCATATAAATTGCTTTATATGTATTTCAAATATCACATTTCTTTATAGGTCAAGAAAAACTTGACACCTTTTTTGATGGGCTAAATCGAAAAGAACTTGATTTACTTAGAAACTGGAAAACAGACGAAATAAATGAAATAAAGGATAGAATATCGGACAATATTTCAAATATTGTATTTGGATCCTTTAAAGACGATGACATTTTTCGTTTGGAAAGGACAGCAATTCATGAACATGTTCGTTAAGTTGAAAGTATGTCAGAGGGTACTAAAATTAGAAATCCCGATGAATTTGATTTCGTTTTTATTTGGCCTCATTTTACTGAAAGTAACACGATAGTTGAAGACATCATGAAATCTCCGTTTGATATAAAAATCTGGTATAGTGGCAATTCTGTAAGTCAACTGATAGAAAGAAAGCTAATTTCCAAAAAAGATGAAAGATCCGTTACACGTTTAATATCCCCATCTAAACTATTTAGTTTCTTTTGCATGAAAATACTTGAATATGTTTCTCATCTTCCAGATTGTTATATCAGAGTTTATAGTTCAGCTGTTACACTTTATTTTGATAATATGGTCCTTGAATCGGGGAAAAGAATTTGTGTTGCAGTTGATCTTGTACCAGTAATATCACTTTCGAAATCGAAAGCCCATCATCGTCTTTCAAAACGACTTCCCAAGAAAGTTTTAGATAAAATGAAATACATTCACCTGTCTCATATTCCAACTGGTCGAAAAGTTAAAAGCAAAGCTAATGGCAAAGTAGTAAGTAACACATGTTTCACAGAAAAAGATTCTTTCAGCATTTGTCTCCCGCATGTTGAAAACATATTGATGAAACGTATTGCAAAAAGCAACCCAAACTGATCAAAAGTTATCAAATTTTTATAGATATGCAGACACTATTGAGCTCTTTTGTCTATGGTAAAGACAAAGCTGCTCCATATAAATTTGATTTGAATAGTTACCAACTGAAATGTCTGATATTAGAAATGGCATTGACAAAAAAACAACCGTATACAGAAATGTCATTGTCGACAATGATAATAGTTTTATGGGAGAAAATTCTTTTAATATATTTTAATGCGGCTGGAAAGGGGAACGCTGCAATCCCGACATTGCTGACAAGAATATAAAACTGACATTCACTGAGATGCAACGCTCGAGACGCGTTTCTCTTACGTACAATACTTAAAAGAAACCGCGACATGTTGGTTTCATTTTTTGAGAAAATACTCAATGACCGCACATACAATTTCGAGGAATATTTGGAGCAATACAATGATTTCTTACAGTTATCAGACGAAAGTTTTGTAACAGTTACTGAAAGCCGTACTTTCCGATCTAACTTTGCGCGATAAGGTTTATTCAGTTGACTGAATAAAGCTTAATTCATCTTTAAAATAGTTTTGCATAAAAATTTACACATTGTCACGATTAAGTAACGTAGCTAAATTGTCATTCGACCTTTATTTTCAAAGGAGTTTTATACAAAAATGCATTTATTTTGGTATCCGATCAATAAATCTGTCATTGGTCTAGATTTACTTTTAAAAAAAGATTTAGAAATGATGACGACTTGTCGCGTAAATGTCGAGTTAATTCTTTAGCTCAAATGTAAATGTCACACGTGCACTTCGATACCGAAACTCACTTTATGATAGTTTATTGATAGCCAAGGTCAATATATTTGCAATTCATTCGTAGATTTTTAAAAGTTTACTATAAAATGTGATACCTGAGACCAAGTTGTTGGCTCCAAGGTTAAGGTACCACTAAAACTTAAAAGGGAAAACATCATGAATGACCTTTGATAGCCGTGCTCATCAATCCTGCGATTTAATAGAGAAACATATATTTTGACACATATTTTGTTTTATTTTGTGGGGGGATGAGGTGGGAGTGAGTCACATTTGTCTGTTTCAAACGACAGGTCTTAATTTGCTTACTTACTTACTTACTTGTACTTACTTACTTACTTATACTTACTTAATTATACTTACTTACTTACTTACTTACTCACTCACTCACTCACTTACTCACTTACTTAGTGTATGTTATTGTTATAACATTTGTCTGCAATATGCAGAAATCATTATGTCTCCTTTCAGAATTCCATCAAAGTTCCAATAACTGTTTTTACTAATGCTATATCTCTCAAAAGTTGTATACATATATTTTGGTGTTCTGTTAAACCTTTTATTGGCTTAAAAGCTGAGCCATAGTTGCTTCAGTTGATTTTAGGTATAAGTAACGTTATAGTGATTTAGAATTGGTATAGAAGTCATAATACTACTTTGCTACTTGTATAGCAATAAATGTCACATTGAGGTCTAATTTATGCACGTAATATGTATCTATCATACTCGATATATTATAAAAATCGATATATAATAAAAATCATGTTTTAACTTTCTAAAGAAAACACCATTTATTCATTTCTGAGGCATAGTGTGCCTTTAAAGTTATAGGACTGTTAAAAGAAAAATACTTTGCTACTTTAATATTGATTGTTAGTATAACGTTGATTTGACAGTTATATTAATGTGTTTGCGAACATGTATATTTTTATTCCATGCTGTTGCTTTTCCGAGGAATAAACGTTACAACCGATGTCAAAATATTAAACACGTGTATAAAAATTTCATAGTGACCTGATTTAGAACATTTCCGCAAGGAGGAGGTTAATATGGAATATTTTCGAGAGTTAGATTATTTTTATCACGTTATAGATCCATTAGAAACATAAACTCGGTATATATTGACATCTTAAATTAAATTTCGTTTTTTATTTATTTTGTGTCGCATGATAAATTGCATATTGCCAAGGTACTAAACGTTTTATGATAGCAGTTTAAACATACTTTGAATTTTTTAATACTGAATATGTATACGATATGAAAACTATGTAAATGCTGCATTACATTTCCTTCCAAAATAAAGTTTGTATCCATTATACTGTTTATGTTGTTGTCTACTCCTTTTTAAAGATCATGTTACACAATTTTGTATGGTTTTATTTCATAAATATTATGCTCAAATTAAGATTTGTCAATATATAGTAAGTTCCAATAAGCATTATTTATAAAAATATTACCGATTTTGCACATTTCATGTAAATAATGGGAGGTAATTAGAAATTTATTTTTTATAAATTTTAAGCAAATTTTCCAATAAAATGAATGCATATAATCCATTGATTACATATAATGTGCACACAGTATATTTTTTACACATTTCACGATGTTTGAAAATTGTTTTATTGCATAGATATATACATATATAATTTCTTGTAAGTGTGGAACACACACAATAACAATATCAATCACAAAACATACAGGATCTTTAAAGCTTATATCTAAAGTTTCTGTCATTTAATTTTATCAGACTATAAAGTATGTAAATCAAAATGGTGCCTGCAAAACCTTTGTTACAATAAAAACACAATTTTGCTTCTTTAAAACGGAGCATGAGAGAGGTCTTTTTACGGCTGTTGAAAATTTATTTAGTTGTTCAAATGGCGGGAAAGTAAGAACTTCTGATAAGTAGAATTGCATCTACGAACAATGTCAATATATCGGCTATTTTAGTTAAGTCTCTCTGATTAGGAATAATCGGCGAGAAGTTAAAGAAGCAGCCAAATTTCCATACACGGTTAACTAGGTCATATAATAGTGTTTAGTGATATTGGTACGAACTTGGTTTTACCAGAAATCTGTCTTAACACGTTTTCGCTGAATAAGTGATAGAAAGAGCACCGAAACACGAGGCTATCTGATTTGTACGAGGGGGCGTACAAAGTGTTTTGGTGTTCTTTCTCTTTTGTATCATAGTCAAACATAAAAGCACGTTCCCTGTTGTCACAATATGAAACCCCGGCAAAAATGAACCAATGAACGAACATCTGAATATGACATTTCTGTCCCTTTCCCTTTCTCTGCCGTCACAATATGTAAACCCCAGCAAAAATGAGCCAATCAATAGGCATGCTCTGGAGTGCGGGTAACTAATACCCGCACTCCAGTTAACGCACTGTGCATGTATATGTATACGATTTAACCCTGACACATTTTCAACAGAAAGGTCTCCAAACTATGATACAATAAAGTAAAGGTGCGCTTTTAAAAATAATATATTTTTTATGACACCAGAAGTTTAAAGATATCAATTCTG